ATTCATATTTTAGTATCAAATTACTCCGATGACTTAGCAATAAGACGTCCTCCAACTCTGACCATAATTGAAGGACTTGTGATAAGTGGGAGTCAGTAGGGGACGCACAGTTAATAGCATCAATGCCAAGAGTTTGCTCTCCCATTACAGTACCACAGGAACACCTTGGAGACTTTCTGATAATTTCCTGGGACTAAATGTATCCATGGGAGCTCTGGTGGTGTAGTGCCTAAGGCATTTGACTACTAACCAGAAGGCTGGTGGTTCAAACCCACAAGCCACTCCTCAGAAGGAAGGCTGGGCAATCTACTTCCATAGTGATACCATCTTGGAAACCCAAGGAGGGTTTGTTATGAGTCGGATCCTACTTGACAGCAGTGAATTTGGTTTTTTGGTAAATGTATCCATAGAAATTAATCATTTTTGTTTGTAGTTGCCACATGGCAATTTCTTTATGCAGTAATGGTACTAGCACACATGGTACCTTTATTCTGGTAATGCAAGCCTGGTTTAATATTAAAATATCAATTAATATAATCTTACATATTAACATCTAAGGATAAAAACTACATGATCATGTCAATAGATGCAGAAAAAGCATTTAACAAAACAAAATGTCCACTCATGTTAAAAATTCTCAGCAAAACAAAATAGAAAGGAACTTCCTCAACCTAATAAAGAGAATTTATAAAAGTGCTCCAGCTAAAATCTTATTTAATAATAAAAGGCTAACTAACTACTTCTTCCCCCTAAGATCAGGAACAAGGCAAGAATGTTTGTTCTCACCACTGTTACGCAACACAGTATTGGAAGTCTTAGCCGGTGCAATAAACAAGAAAAAGTCATAAAACACACTGAGATAGAGAAGAAAGAAATAAAACTGTCCCTATTCACAGATAACATGATTGTCTATGTAGAAAGTTCCAGGGAATCTACAAAGATTCTTAGAACTAGTAAGTGAGTGTATGGATATAAGATCAACATGTAAAAATCAATTATATTTCTCTGTACAAACAATGTAACATTGGAAAATGAACTATAAAAAATAATTACCACTATAATAGCTCCCCAAAATGAAATTTTAAGTGTAAGTCTAACATGTATAATGTATAATATGTATAGGATGTATATACTAAAAACTACAAAAGGCTGATGAAAGAAATCAGAGAAGACCTAAATAAGTGGAGAGGTATACCATAATCATGGACTGGAAGATTCAACATAATATCTATTCTCCCTAAGGTGATCCATAGATTTAACAAATACCTATTAAAATTTCAGCAGGATTTTTTATAGATATGGAAAAGTTGATTCTAAAATTTACATGGAAATTTCATATAGCCAAAGCAATTTTGAGAAAGAACAAAGTTGGAGAAATCATACCACCCAATCTTAAGAGTCACTATAAAGCTACAATAATCAAGACAGGTGGTATTGGTAAAAGGATAGATTCTTCAATGGAACAGACTAGATGATCTAGAAATAGACTCACAAAAATAAAGCCATTTGATCTTTGACAAAGATATGAAGGAAAAAACAAGTGAATGGAGAAAGGGCAGTATTCGTTAAAATGATGTTGAAAATGTAACAAAAATAAACCTTGATGGGACAACCAGAAAGGAAATATTGAGAATGTATGCATTGTGAAGAATGTCAATATCACTGAACAATTTGTATAGAAATTATTGAATGAGACTCTTAACTGCTATGTAAATCTTCATGGAAAACACAATAAACTAAAATTTAAAAAATTAAAAAAAGAACCTTAACCTAAACTTTATACCTTATACAAAGATTAACTTAAAATGGGCTATAGATTTGAATGTGAAACATGAAACTACAAAACTTTCAGAAGAAAATCTCCATGACCTGTCATTAGGTAAAGAATTCTTAGATGTGATAGCAAAAGCACAATCCATAAAAGAAAAAAGAAAATTGGACTTGATGAAAATGAAAAACTCTTGCTCTACCAAAGACACTGACAAGAGAATGAAAAGAAAATGTTTGTAAATCATATCTTACAAAGGAATTGTGTCCAGAATATATAAACAAATCTCAAAAGCCAACAATAAGAAAATAAAAATCTCAATTAAAAGAATGGGCAAAGACTGGAACAGACACTTCATTTTGCTATCCTTACTTTAGGAAAACAAATAAGCATATGAAAAGATGATCAACCTCATTAGATCTTAGGAAAATGCAAATTAAAACCATGATAAGATACCATTACATACTTCTTAGAATGGTAAAAATGAAAAAATACAGTCAATTAGACTTATTCCAAATTAAAACTTTTGATCTATGAAGACCCAGTTAAGAGAAACAAAAGACAAGCTATGAATTAAGAGAAAACATTTATAAAGAACACATTTGACAAAGGATTAATACCTAGAAGACATAAAGAAAATTCTTAAAATTCAAGAATAAAAATGCAAAGAATCCAATTAGAACATGCACAAAAGACACTTGAAGACAGTTCATGAAGATATGCATATAGCAAATAAGCACATGAAAAGATATTCAGACATCATTAGCCATTAGGGAAATGCAAAATAAAACCATAATGAGATTTTACTACATACCTATCAAAATTGCTCAAACTAAAAATTAATAATAATAATAAAAGCTGGCAATATTAAATAGTGGTAAGGATAGAGAGAAACTGGATAACTTATAGATTGCTGGTGGGAATGTAAAATGGTATACCCACCATGAAAAACAACTTGGCAGTTCCTTAAACTAAACACACAATACAACATACAACCCAATAATTGCACCCCTGGGCATTTATCCCACATAGAAACATGTATATGAATATTCATAACAGCTATATTTGTAATAGCTAATAACTGGAAACAATCTAGATGTTCAATGGGTGAATGGTTAAACTATGGTGCATTTATGCCATGGAATACAGCTCAGCAATAAAAAGGAACAAACTATTGATACCCATAACAACCTGGATGAATCTCCAGAAAATTACGCTGGGTGAACAAAAGCCAATCCCAAAAGGCTATATATTGTATGATTCCATTATATAACATTCTCTAAATGGAAAAATTATGTAAGTGTAGAATAATAGATTAGTAATTGCCAGAGGTTAAAGAGGACGTAGGGCAGGAGGGAAGTAGGTATGGCTATAAAGAGGCAACATAAGGGATCTTTGTGGTAATGAAAATGTCCTGTATCTTGACTGTATCAACACCAATATCCTGGTTGTGAGACTGTAGATAGTTTTGCAAGAAAATATCACTGACAAACTGAGTGAAGGGTACATAGGATCTCTCTGTATTTTTTCTTACCAATGCACATGAATTTATAATTATCTCAAAATAAAAAGTTTAATTAAAAATACTGACAATATCAAGTGCTGATGAGGATGTGAGGAACTAGAATTCTCACGTATTGCTGGTGGGAATGTAAAATGGTTAGGTGCAGCCACTCTGGAAAACAGTTTGTCAGTTTCTTACAAAGTCAAACGTATACTTACCTTATGACCAGAAATCCTACTCCTGGTATTTACCTTAGAGTAATGAAAACTATATTCACACAAAAACTTGTACATGAATGTTCATAGTAACTTTGTGATAGCTAAAACCTGGAAACAACCCAATGTCCACTTACAGGTAAATGGATAAACCAACTGCAGAACTTCCATACAACGGAATGATTATTACTCAATAATAAAAATACAAACTATTAATATATATAACAACTTACATGAATCTCATAGACCTAATGCTGAATGAAAAAAGTCAACCTTAAAAGGTTATATACTGCATAATTCCATTTATATGACATTCTCAAAATAACAAAATGATGATGATTAATCAGTGCTTGCCAGAGGTTAGGGGTTGGGGAAGGGTGTGATTAAAAAGAGAGGGCACAAAGAAGTTCTGGGGGGATACAATTGTTCTGTATCCTGATTGTGGTGGTGGTTACACAAATATAAATTCATAGAATTGTACACCAAAAGGAAATAAAGTCAATCTTAGTGTATGATAATTAAAAACCAGTAAGTAAAAAGCAGTCTTTTTCTCCAACTGTGCCTCTTCCCTGTGTCAGTGTTAGATTTCAGCCACTACTTGCCCCTTTGGCTGGACTCCTTTGTGCTTTGTACAAACTACACAATCTCAAGCTTCAACCCTTCCTGGTTGTCCTCAGAAGAATAGAAAAATGGCAGTATTTAAAGACGATGTGGGGAACTGTGAACTACTTGACTGAAAGATTAACAAAGCCCTTCTTCTTTCTCTGTGGATAAATTTGATCTTGGGTTAACTTTCTAGCTCTGTTTCCCTGGAAACCTAATAAAAGTAGAATGTCAGCTGTGTTTACCAGGCAACATTGCTTATAGCAAAAATGAGCCCCATTGGTTTGTATACTCCATCTGGACAAAGCAGACTGTGGATGAACTATAAACATACAGTGGGAACCCCTACCTTTAGGACTCTAAGCACAGTGATGCTTGTAACTGGGCATGTCCATTTTTTAACCCTGGATCAACACTCATTGGACTGTTATAAGAAATGTTGGTTCCTATTGGTGAAATGAGGCTTCTAAGGCCCACATAGCTCCTGTACTGTTCTCTGTCATCTTGTTCTCTTACATCTGAATTGCTACTTAGAAGACCAAAGAGTAAGCCCTGAACTTCTATGTGACCAGCTGTTAAGACTCCCGTGAAGAGCTCTTAGCTTGTTGGGTTTCTTATCCTTCACTTTTGTATGTGAGGTCTATTATAGTCATGTGAGTATGAAATGACTAGTGAAGCAAAAAATGACCAAGAGTAAGCACTGCAAATACTGTGGAAAGTATTCAGGGGTCTAAACTAAACTGAGTCTTTTGGAATCACCTTGGAGGGGTTAGACATCTGGCAGGTAAGAGTACAAATAAATGGTACTGATGTGAATGGAATTCAAAGTTTTTTTTCCTTTTCATCTAGCACAAACCCTGGGCAAGGTGATTAACCATGTTTGAGTAAAAAGGCTTTGTATCTTTCTTACCTTGGGGAACTTGCACAAGACCAACACTTAGACCAGCAAGCAAATCTCCAAGAAGCCAATCCTTGAATCGATACAAACATACCCACTCTAGGAAGGGAAAGATCATAAGCATGCATCTTAAGAACATATGCCATGAGCAGCTGTGAGAAAGAAGAGCACACACTTGGTTAGGTTCTCCAAAGAAAAAGCCTACCCAGCCAAGAAAAGGAACAATGCACAATCCTTCCTCCCATACAGCAGATTCTCAATGTCAGCACTATTAAAATTTTGGGTGAGGTAATTCTTTGTTTGGGGCTATTCGGTGCATCATAGAGTGTTCAGCAATGCCTTTGCTTTCTGTCTGCTAGATGCCAGTAGAATCTTCCCTGCCCAATTACAACAACCAAAAATGTCTCCAGACATGGCCAAATATTTCCTGGGGGCAAAATCACCTCTGATTGATTTGTAATCAGTAATATTGGTGGAAGGCAGGAGGACTTAACACATTTCATTTCATTCCCATTTACTAAAATTTTTATTGAACATTAACTCTGAAATTTATAGAAAATACAGAATATTAAGTCTTACACTTCAGGACTTAGTCACATAAAGAAAGGGTTATAAAACAAAGCTTTATCATCTAACCCAAAATTATAACCAATTTTGCTCCCCAAGGGACATTTGGCAATGTCTAGAGACATTTTTGATTATCACAACAGACATCTAGTGAGTTGAGGCCAGGGATCTTGCTACACATCCTATCATGCACAGAAAAGCCTTCTACAACAAAGAGTATTTGGTCCAAAATGTCAGTGATGCTGAGGTTGAGAAACCCTGCTTTAACCTTTAGATCATCTAAAAGAGCAGAATTGCAGTAAGTTAAGTAAATACATACCAATTTGGCTTTAAACTACTTTTTGCTATTTACATTTTAGCATGGGCCAAAAGCAAAAAGTATGGAGATTTTCCATGTGTGAGCTGTAGCTAGGTAATTAGGATTTGACTATAATAACAAATGTAACGTTGGTGTATATAAGACTAATACATGCTCAGAAAAGAAATTATTTCACACGTTTGACTGTCACAACTATGAGCATTACTAACCCTAAGTTAATTACGACAAATCAGTGGAAGAGACTCTGCTAAAGTCACACTAGTATGGGCAGAGCTAGGATTAGAAACCAGGTGTCTGATTCCTAGTTCAGTGTTCTAGCCACTGTATTATTTCAACAGTTCCTACTGATAGCTGTTAAATTCTGCTCAGAAGGTTGCTATTTTTATGAGAGTCCCTGGGTGTGAGGCAGATGCACCAAATGTGTTTTCTCCAATTATGACTCCCTATGGGAAAGGGAAAGGAGCTCTGGTAGTGCTGTATTTAAAGCATTGGGCCACTAACCAAAAGGTCGGCAGTTCGAACCCACCAGCCACTCTGTGGGAGAAAGATGAGGAAATCTGCTTCTGTAAAGATTTACAGCCTTGGAAACCTTATGGGGCAGTTCTACTCTATCCTCTAGGGCTGCTATAAGTCAGAACCAACTTGATGGCAATGGGATTTTTATGGGAAAGAGAAAGGAACCCTGGTGGCACAGTATTTGAGCACTAGGCTGCTAACCAAAAGACTGGCAGTTCAAACATATCCAGCAGCTCTGTAGGAGAAAAGATCTGGCAACCTGCTCCTGTAAAGATTACAGCCTAGGAAGCCCTATGGGGCAGTTCTACTCTGTCCTATAGGGTTGTTGTGAGTTGGAACTGACTTGAAGGCACACAACAACAACATGGGAAAGGAAGGGAGCTGTGGTGGGACAAACAGTTCAGCACTTAGCTGCTAACCCAAAGGCTGGCCGTTTGAACCCACCCAGTGACTCTGCAGGAGAAAGACCTGGCAATCTGCTTTTGCAGAGATCACAGCCAAGAAAACCCTATGGGGCATTTTGCTCTGTCATGTGGGGTTGCTATGAGTCAGCATTAACTCTATGGATACTAACAACCACAACACAGAAAAGGGCCAGAGCATGACGCTGGGGCAATTTTTTCCTTCACCTGACCTAATTTCCCCTCCTTTCAATATGCTACTTGGCAGAACATCAGCCACCCTAGGCAGTCCATTAAAGCTTTTTACCAAGGAACCAAAAAAAAAAACAAAACTCACTGCCATTGAGTCGGATCCGTCTCATAGCGACCCCTCCTTGAGTTTCCAAGGGTTTACCACAGAAGTAGATTGCCCAACCTTCCTTCTAAGGAATGGCTAGTGGGTTTGAACTGCCAGCCTCTGGTTAGCAGTCAAGTGCCTTAGGCACTACACCACCAGACCTCCTTTTTACCAAGGAAAGAACAAAAAAGAAAAGAAAAGAAAAGAAAAAATCTTGGTGTGATTAGGACCTAAGACTGAAAGAAATCATGGAGAGGGTTAAGGAATAGAAATTGAAGGAACTGAGGGATTTAGACCTAAATCTGGATTTTGGTGAAAGTATCTTAAAAGTGAGGAAAGTAAGAGTGTATGTGAAAGCATAGGGCAGAATTTGACAAGAAAAGGAGGAGCTGCTGTTGCTAACTAAGAGGAAGATGAGCGGTTCTGTGCAGAAAGGAAAAAAATGGTCTTACTTTAAAAACACTTGTAGAGTGCTGTGTACAAGATGTTTTACAAATACACTTTAAATACTCAAAATTATCTTATGAGGTGTTGTTGTTGTTGTTGTATGCCATCGAGTCAGACCTGATTCATAGCAACCCCTCCTTGGGTTTCCGAGGTGCCATCACTATGGAAGTAGATTGGCCAACCTTCCTTCCAAGGAGTGGCCTTCTAGTTAGCAGTCAAATGCCTTAGGCAATGCGCTACCAGAGGTAGGCACTATTAAAACAAACAAAGAAACAACAACAAAAAACTATTGGCATTGAGTTACCTCTAATTCACGGCAACCCCAAGTGTGTCAGAATAGAGTTGTGCTCCGGAGGGTTTTCCGTGGCTGATATTTTGGAAATAGACCACGTTTCTACTAAGGCACTTCTGGGTGGACTCAAAACTCCAAACTTTTGGTGAGCAGCTGAATGAGTTAACCATTTGCATCACTCATTATTGTCCCCATTTTACAGACTCAGAAACTGAGGCACAATAGGACTGGATAGCTTACCCAAGGTCACATAAGTGGGAAGCAGTGGAAGTAGGATTCAAACCCAGTTAGTATGGCTTCAGAGCCTTGCTCTTCACTACTGTTTTGTGCTACCTGTCAGGCTGAAATTCAGAAGTGGGGAGAACTGTATGTTTTAGAAATAGGGAATAAGAACTGTTCTAAAAGCCCAAGGGAGCCAATCAGGGCAGATTTAAGTGTCTAAATGGCATGGTAAGGGAGTTAGATTAAAATTGCTTTGATAATACCTGTTTGCAAAGAGGGTAAAATCAGGAAAAGACTCTCATTTTGTAAAGACAAAGCCAATGTGGCCCCCAATCCCTCCTTGATATATTTTGGCCGACCCTTCCTAGAATGGAGGAAATGAGAGTGGTGACATAGGACTGCGGAGGGGCATCCAAGACCAGAGGTATATCTAAGGAAAATAGCACCTATGGCAAGCACTGAAATTGTGCCCCTGTCCAAACATCTGACACTCAACTGTCAGATAACTTTACCATAATATCAGCTCAAAAATATAAGTCAAGCTCATTAATCTTTTACTTAACATATTATGGCACTACATGAAAATTATAATTGCACCTTCCTTGTTTTCACTGATGAAAACTGGTCTATGATGTGCTCAGATTTTTTTTTTTTTTTTTTTCAGTTTATTCTCTTTCTACACTCAGCAGAGCAGGATCACACATTGTCTTGACCCATAAAGGCTCTTGAATACCACAGTATTGGTTTTAACCTGCTGAATGACCTTTTATAGCTGGAGATGGAAACTGCTAATGGTTAGTAGAAACTGTTCAGTGGCACACAAATCCCTTGATACCCAGGGTACAGGCTATCCCCATACCTGCTGGACCTTAGATATGCCTCTGGCCAAGACCACAACTTACAAAAACCAGAGTATGACAAAAGAGGATGCCTCCAAGACAGGAAGGTCTGATACAGACCTATGCAGATGACTTCCTCCCTTGTCACACCAAACCCAAAACCCACTGCTGCTGAATCGACTCTGACACATAGTGACTATACAGAGCACAGTAGAACTGACCCATAAGGTTTCCAAGGTTGTACATCTTTACTGAAGCAGACTGTCTCATTGTATTCTAATATCATTCTATTCTAACAGCATTCTATTCTAACTGCTGTTCTAACAGCAGTTGAGCACTTGAACCACTGGCACCACCAGGGCTCCTTCCTTGTCACACACACAAATAAACGAACAAAAACACCCCAAAAACTCATTGCCATCGAGTTGATTCCTACTCATAGTGAACCCCTTTGGGTTTCTGAGGTAGTAGATCTTTATGGAAGTAGATAGCCCAGTCTTCCTTCTGTGGAGTGGCTGGTGGGTTTGAACTGCCAGCCTTCTGGTTAGCAGTCAAATGCTTTAGGCACTATACCACCAGAGCTCCTTTCCTTCTCACCCAGCACTCACTGTACACATCAATTATGGGCAATATAAATCCAGAGTGTGAGTGAGGATAACTACAATGAGTAAGGTTAATATCCTGATGTAGGTCACCCTGGGTTCTTACCTTGGGGTCTGTGAACCTCCAACAAGTCTGTAGATAGTATTTGGGGAGAGCAAGGGGTTTCTGTAAACTTGGATGGGAAAAATTATGTCTTTATTTCCACTAACTGCAAGCTGAAATTTATCATTTCCTTCCATAATGATTGTTGACAATAAACCACAATAGCAGAACTTAACTTTGTCACCAAGAGATATCACAAATACTTTCATATCACATTACAATTGTTGCAGGTTTCTTGAAATATCATTTCTATCACTACCTTGAAATTACGGTAGTTATTAGATCCACATTATTAAATAAAGCAATTTTTTAAAAAATATTTTGACCATTATATTCCAACCTAACTGCTTTCCTTTATAATCCAATATATTTTATGCATTAAAATTTATTCTGGAGAGATTAATAAGCATCACTAGACCGTTAAATGATTCATAGCACAAAAACAGCTAAAGATAGAGTAGGAGAACAATATGGAACAAAAGTCAAAATCATAAAAAAAATAAAATAAAAGGGACCAGGTTTGCTGGTCTGATAGAGCCTGATGGAACCCCTGAGACTATGGCCCCTAGCCGCCCTTCAGGTCTGGAATTGAATCCATACTGTGGCTTCCAGCCAAACAAAAGACAGACATATGAACTGAACGTTTACATTAGGTAGAAACACTCCTTGGAGAGAACAATCATGGGAAAATAGAAGGGCTGTATGCACAGGGAGACAGCTCAGGGGGCAGGAGTGCATAGAGAGAATGACACAGGGAAGAGGTAACTATGGGGAGGAGGTGAGAGGGGAGCTATTGAGTTGTGGGAAATTGCAGTCAATGACATGAGACAAACTGTATGTGAGCTGCTGTATGGAAAATGAATTTGCTCTGTAAAATTTCATCCAAATTACAATAAAAATTAAAACAAACAAACAAACAAAAAACAGGTAAAGAGCTCCTGAGCTGTAGGACCTAGCTAGTCACGTAGTCTCTGGCATCTCTCCAGAGGTAGTGGTGGTGAGTTTTACACTGAAGACCATGAGGACTGTGGATTCCATCAGATGTGAGGCTCGAAGATCTCATTCTGCCACCATTAGTCCACCATGGTTGCCTCTATTTGTCAGAACACTGATTAATCATATATTTATTAGATATTTATCATCCCTAGATGATGTCGGAGGAGCTCTGGTAGCACAGAGTCTAGGGCACTTGACTGCTAACCAGAAGTCTGGCAGTTCAAATCCACCAGCAGCTCCTGGAAAGGAACATTGGGCAATCTACTTCCAAAGAGATACTACCTCGGAAACCCAAGGAGGGGTCACTATGAGTTGGGTCCAACTCAACAGCACATAACAACAACAACGGATAATGTTCGGGGCACTCAAGGTCTTTATGCTCAAGAAGCGAACAGTCAAGAAGGTGCTACAAGACAAACCCAAACAAAACAAAACAAAACACCTGAAGAAAAATTACACAATAAATGGCATGGTTCTGAATGACAGGAAGTCAGAGAAGGAAGACAAAAGTGTGCACTAAGGAATCAGGCCAGGTTTTGGGTCCTGCCCAGGTTGGCAGCAGATCACACACACGCACCGGCACTGGACATGGTGTTTGAAGGTGGTGATGTTGATGTCCAGGTTCCCTGAGGAAGAGGCTTTCCTTCTGTGTTCCTGTTGAAAGGTTTCCTCATTATACACTTCGCGCTTAACATCATATGTGAAAGAATTTTGGTGATACTTAGAACTGAAACTCTGGGTACTCCTCTCTTGTTGCATTATTTCTGAAAGAGTAAAAAAGAGATCAAATGAAAAACAAATTTTAAAAAATTGAGATCCTCAGTACATTTTGGATGGAAATGAAATTTTCACATAATGATATTTTATATTTGCGTAACACATTTCAATTTTACAAAACTCTGCCTCATGTATTTGTAAACATTATACTCAAAATCACTCTACACATAAGACAAGATGTGTATTATCCTCATTTTCCAGATGGAGAAATGACAGCCCAGAAATGTAAGTAGTCTTGGCTATTTAATAATAATTAGAGTCAGGACTAGAACCCAGGTGTCCTGCTAGAAAGCCTTTTTGTTGTATTCACCTATGTTAATTTTCACTGAAAATATTAAGAGTTAAGGACTCAACACAACATCTTCTAACTTTCTCTCTAAAATAAACCACACCAAACTTGTTGCTGACCCTATAGAATGGAGTAGAACTGCCAAATAGGGTTTCCAAGGCTGTAAATCCTTATAGAAGCATAAAGCCACATCTTTCTCCCATGGAGTGCCTGGTGGATTTGAACTGTTGGCTTTCTGGTTCACAACTGAGCACTTTAACCACTGCGCCATGAGGACTTCTTCTACGTAAATTAGTATCCACCATTCTCTATCCCTTTATTGGCTTCACAACACTTGCAGCATCTGATTTGATATTTGTCTATTTGTCCATTGTCTGTCTATCCCACCAAAATGCAAGCCCAGGAGGCAAGACTTTGTGCATAGCTGTCTCCCCAGGGCCCAGAATATTATCTGATAATTAGCAGCCCCTTATCTTAGTTTTCTAGTGCTGCTCTAACAGAAATACCACAAGTGGATGGCTTTAACAAACAGAAATTTATTCTCTTACAGTTTAGGAGGCTATAAATCCAAGTTCAGAGTACCAGCATTAGGGGAAGACTATCTCTTTCTGTCTCTCGTGTTCCTAGGAGGATTCCAGCACAGGGACCCTGGGTCCAAAGGGCACACTCCACTCCTGGCTCCACTTCCTGGCTCCACTTTCTTGGTAGTAGTAGGTCTCCCTTCTCTGCTCCTTTCTCTGGCCATACCCCAGGGAAACTCCCCATAAATCTATCTATCTGATTAGTGTGATCAGTCTGTGATGGGACTTAAGGGTGTTGCAATCCACCCTTAATCTTAATCCATTTACACCTAATCAGCTCATCATATCAGGGGGTATGATTACACATCTGCCACATTACATCATCACGGCAACTTCTAAACCACTGAGAATCATAGCCCAGTCAAGTTGACACAAAGTTTTTGGGGAAATAATTCAATTCATGACAGATCTCAACTAATATTTCTTGAATCAACATCAAGTATCCAGTTAGGGGCATCACTGTGTAGCAGAATAAGCATTGCACAGGATGCCAGGACACTGGGGTCCTATTCCAGGCTTTAAAAAAATTTTTTTTTCCCTAACAAGTTGTAGGGAGCTCTGGTAGCATAGTGCCTAAGGCACTTGACTGCTAACCAGAAGGCTAGCAGTTCAAACCCACCAGCCACATCTCGGAAGGAAGATGGGGCAATCCACTTCTGTAGTGATACTGCCTCAGAAACCCAAGGAGGGGTCTCTATGAGTCCAACTCGATGCCACATAACAACAACAACAACAAGTTGTATGAGAGCTCTAGTGGCATAGTGCCTAAGGCATTTGACTGCTAACCAGAAGGCTGGCAGTTCAAACCCACCAGCCAGTCCTCAGAAGGAAGGTTGGGCAATCTACTTCCATCGTGATACCACCTCGGAAACCCAAGGAGGGGTCGCTATGAGCCGGATCCGATTCGATGGCAGTGAGTAACAAGTTGTATGATTGGGGACACGTTTGTTAGGCTCCGAGTTTCAGTTTCCTTACTTACAAAATTATGTCACTGTACTACATAATTTCTGAGGGTGCATTTAGCTTTAGAAACCTGTATTGCCTTCTCTCAAGAAAATGAGAAATGGGGGTTAACAAGGATGGATATAGATCCATCTCTGGAAGAAAGTATGGCCGTTCTTAACCATATGTTTGTGAGTAATAAAAAACACATAAACTCTAAAATTCTACATAAATGTAGAAAAGTATATACATATTACACAGATATAAAATGTACAGTTAAACATTCAAATTATGTAGATTACACAAATAGTTCTTTTATGGGTGAGGCTGAAAACAAGTTTAATGTATCAGCAACTGCAAAAACGGCATGGGGCAGCTTCTTCCTACCTCCTCTAACTTCACAAGGGGGAAGAAGGACCAACATCAGCAGCCCAAGGCTGATTCCTCTGAGGTAGAACTCAGACATGCCACCATCCTCCAAGCTTTTTGCCAGTTCTGACACCAACCATCCCACAACAGCACTCTCTACTTCTCTCCTGGGTTCAATAATTCATTGTAATGGCCACAAAGAACTCACAGTAAATACTTAATGATTATGGGGTTTATTGGAAAGTGACATGTTACAGTTCAGGATCAGAAAAAACTCAGGGTACAGCTGTTCAGTCAGGACAGCCTCTCTTCAGCCATGCTGCAGGCACATTTCTCTTTGGGCTTCAGCCTCTGTTCTCAGGCCATGTTACAAAGCTCTTTCAGCTTTGCTGATAGGCACCCAAAGAAGCATCCTGCTCTGCCAGCCAGCCTCTTTTCTTGCTCCATGGGCTGGAAAGCCTACCACTCTGTATTGTGCCAGTCTCTTGGTTCTGCTGCCTCTGTTGCCACTGCCTCTCTGCCTCTCTTTCTGCCGTCTCTTCAGTGCAGTTATCTCAAGTCCAAAGGACATGATCTACTATTGGCTCTTCTGTCTTGACAACAGTGAGATCTTCCCTTTCTCCCTCTGGGATGGCTCTTTTTAAGCCTAGCAAGATGGCAAAACTGACCATCCCCATGTTAAGGTTCAGTACACCTTATTTGAAGGAGCTCTGGTAGCATAGTGCCTAAGGCACTCGATTGCTCACCAGAAGGCTGGCGGTTCAAACCCACCAGCCACTCCTCAGAAGGAAGGTTGGGCAATCCTACTTCCATAGTGATACTGCCTCGGAAACCCAAGGAGGGGTCGCTATGAGTCGGGGCCAACTCAATGGCAAACAACAACAACAACAACAACACCTTATTTGAACAATTCCACCCCAAGGGTGCCATGTACCTTATTTACATTATTGGCAAGCTATCCAATCCCCTTGATGGGTCCCAATGCACCTCACACTTACATAGTTCCACCCAGTCATCTAGTGGGAATCACAAAGACCATGGTTAGAAAAGCCATACCAAGTAATTCACTGCACCACAGCAACTTTCAGAATGATCATGTAGCACCACCAGCATTATCATCACCAGCAATTCTTGAGCACTTACTGGATGCCAAGCATAATACTCAATATTTTAGATGAATCATTTCATTTAATTCCCACAGTAATCCTAGTACTACTATTGTTGCCATTTTACAGATGATGTCAATGAAGTTTTAGGAAAGTTAAGAAACTGGGCAATATTGAATTTTATCATCAAAGTATTGGATTGCAATAGAATACTGAATAACACCCAAGAACTAAAAAACAAACAAATAAAAAAATCCATTGACATCAAATTGATTCCAACTCATAGTGACCCTATGTGACACTATGATCTGAGGTGTGATGGGACTTAAGGGTAGTACAATCCACCCTTAATCTTAATCCTTTTACACCTAATCAGCTCATCACAGCAGATCCCATAATGGGGTATGATTATACATCTGCCACATTACGTCATTACATAAGTTCTAAGTAGACTTGCCCCATAGGTTTTCAAGAATGTAACCTTCACAAAAGCAGACAGCCGTATCTTTCTCCTGCAGAGTGGCGAGTAGGTACAAACCACCAACCTTTTGATTAGCAGTTGCTGAGCACCTGAACCATTGCACCACCAGGGTTCCCTATGTAGGAACTAAACAACACAAACCCAATTAAGAAAAAGAACTGGTTGGAGAGGACAGAGGGAATGAAAGAAGTATTTTACAATGCATCAATACATAAGAATTAGTACTTCATGTCTTTTACAAACAAAAACTGGCACTGTATATTAAAACAACATAAGTTCTTTTCCCCACCTATAGGATTACTGACCCAGTCTTCCTTACTTTTCCCATGTAATCTCACAATAAACTCTCATTACTAGAATTTATCTGTTCCTGCCAACTTAAAAAAGCCTAATTAACCTGCTAATTATATTGAGATTATAAAAAATCACCATCCTGGATCAGATCCAAGGTCTAGAATCCAGCATTCATATTTGTTTTCAAAAGTGGCACTAAGGCTTCCAAAGACTTCTCCAAAAGAGTAAAAAGAGACCCTACAGATTGGGAAAAAGTATTTGGCAATGGCATATCTGACAAGGGACTTATCTCTAAAATTCATAGAAAACTCCAACACCTCAACAACAAAAAGACAAATAATCCAATTAAACAATGGTGTTCTGGCTACCTGGTGCTGCTCTGACAAGAAAATATACCACAAATGGGATGGCCTTATCAAACAGGAGTTTATTCTTACAATTTGGAGGCTTTAAGTCCAAGTTCAAAGTGCCAGGCTCTAGGGGCTGGGTGAAAGTCCCTCAACCTTGGGGTCCAGCTCTGCCTCCTGCTCCCGGCCCACTGGAGCTAGAAGCATTTCTTCACTCAGACAGCTGGTGGCTGCTGAGGCTGAGAAGCCCCAACGTTGACAAGTAAAATGGCACAGTCCCGATGTTACCAGACCACACAGCAGGCCATTAGCTTAAGTCCATTTTAAGTTCCAAGGTCGGCAGAGCATGGCAGGCTGCTGAGCAATGACACAGCTACATGCAGGGTCGAAGCGTGCCAAAGGCTAGAGACCATTCTCAAAGCATCTCCTTATATACAGGAAACAGACCACATTCCCTGAGGCAGCTACTCAGCTGCTCCCAGTAGATTCCACCATGGAGTTGATTACCAGTCTCATCATGGGGAATACAAATCCAGCTGCCCAGCCACTCAACCAGGCCTAGCCAATTTGACA